GTCACTAAGGGTAGCTCCTCTGATCTGAGACATGCTGCCACAGCTGTTTTTCAAGTTTATTCTGGCCCTCTCGTGAAGCTCATCAGTTAAAACCTGTTTCTTTAAATAGACATAAACCCAGAAATTTCATACATTTTCTTCATTAGGAAAAAAAAAAAAAAGAAGAGATTTCATGTATTCTTTTCTTTTCCCTGTACCCGCCTGCACTCAGAAGACTGCTGAACAATCATCACTGAATACCAAAATAAAKCCTTTGTTGCCTGCTCTGAAGCACTGTTTGGGACTGACTTTCAGAGTTGTATATGCAATCCGTTGCAYAAAAAAAATCCCTTTTGCTTCCAGTAATAGGCTAGGATTCATGATTACAAGATTTTTTTCGCTTTCAAGTCATACTTTTTGACTTGACTGCAAGTTCACTCTCAATTTTATTTAGCAGTCTCTAACCTCTTTTTCATTTCTCTTCYGCCTTTGTCTTACATTTTTCAACCCTTCGCTGGTTGAATTTATGAGTATGAAGACCTGGAAGAGATTTATACTCRTCATTTGCCACTGTACCAATAGCCCTAAGCCTACAAAAACTTAGCCAGAATCTCTGATTTTCTCACAAGAATGATCCCATAGGTTAAGGGTGAGTCCTTTGAAAGTGTTTGTTAAAAGGTATAAAGGAGTTTGCAAGCAAAGATTCAAGGCTTTTTTCATCATCTCCCTATCTGCATGACTATTGCTCTTTAAAGTTTGTTTAAGGGAAGGATGTGCTCATCTTCTGATATGCTGCAGATGATAAAACTAGTTACAGGGTACTAAGGAATTTAGAAAATAGTTACAAGATGCTGATTTTATTGTTTGGCTCTTGAAATCGACTACAAACTGTCCAGCAGTGTGTAGTCCTATTCCTACCATGATAAAGGAAGTTTTTTCCCAGTTTAACCGGTATCACAGATAAGTCAATATATACAATGATATAAGTGGAAGTTTCATCAATGCACAAAAAGATACTTACTGCCACCCTGCTTTTTCCCAAATGCCTCACAATTCCTTTTTAGCTAAGCTGCCACTGAGTTTAAAAAAGGATTATGCCTCAGCACCCTTATAACTGCAGAAATCAGACACTAGCAAGGTCAAGAAAATGCAACAATGGAAGATGCACTAAAAATGCAGGGATTACCTGCAGAGATTGCTATTTAGCAATTTTATTTGAATAAAAGAATAAGTTGACATCAATTTTTTTAATTCCTGTGGAGTATATATATAAAATAAATGTGATGAGAATTTTGATGCAGTTCTGTATTTTTATGCATAGCAGGAACTGTGTGTTGGTCTGGGCAACCCAGTGCAATGGTTTGCACTGTAAAAGAGTATGGGTTGCAATTACCACTAATCGCTGTTGACTAGCGATGCTATTCCTTCTGTTTACTTAGATATAGTGTAGCACCTACGTATACAGTAGAAAATAACAGGTAATAAGGCAGGTGGTGTCATCCTTCAGAAATGTCAAGTAAGGTTACCGGTAACCCTCCACTCACTTCTGTCTTTTAAAAACCCATGCAGAAAGGAAGAAATTGCCCCAGTGTCAGTGTGACTGCCCAGGGTTGGCTGCTAAGCTGCCCTTCTGCTTCCTCTCCCCACCACAAGGCCGTCAGGGATGCTCTGCTGATGGTGGCTCAGCCACGTGCMTGCGGTGGCCTCCCCAGCAGGAACCATGCAACATGCAGGGATGCACAGTGCCACTAATATCTACGTGTGTCTTGTCTTTCTGTCCTTCCTCACAACCTCTCCATGATCTCAAAGCCATGCTGATCACCACACTTTGGAAAGGAACATCAACCTGAAAGGATCTGCAAGGGAATGTTTCCCTATGATCCACCCCGGAATTGCCCAAAGTAAATTATTTATAAGAATTCGAGGTTGAGAGTAGGGCCATTTTAGGTACGCAGGATCAGTGTGAAAACTGTAAAATATTTTAACTTTAAAATAGTTCAAGCTTTTAGGATTTTTGAAAGTATTCTACAATGCCAGATGTATAGTAGGCATCAATTTAAATCAGTGTCAGAGAAATCTCCAGAATTTAAGAAGTCAGAAAGTTTCTCTAAACTTTCTCAAAGAATTCTCAAAATTTTGAAGTGTTGGATTTTCTATTCTATTTCTAACCAGCCTTTATCAGGGTATTTCAGACTTCAAATTCCATTTCATATCAGATGGTTAAAAGAGCTGAAAACTTACCAACATTTTTAAAATGTACCTCAATTCAGTTGGAGTTCATGTAGAATCATATTAAACAGAGCCCTATTTTAATAGGAAAATCCAAAAATAAATTAGGTAAACCTTTGTTTTGGAGCATTTTGATCAGATTAATATTAATTTATAATAGTATCTTAGCAACAAATTTAAAGAGAGCTTTTAAATTAGTGACATCATATAGGGCCCATTTGGAGGCATCTGGCTTTTATCTTTTGAGTATTTCCATGGTTCGTGGCACAAACTGCTGGGACCAGTCTTCTTCTGCACTTGTGTCTGAAATATATTTCACACAAAGCTGATGTACCAAGACAAGACAAATTTGACAGATCTTTAGTAGTGGCTTTGGATTTTTTTTTTTTTGTTTGTTTGTTTGTTTGTTTGTTTGTTTGCTTGTTTGCTTGCTTATTTTTTTACCATAATGATTTAGAACCCAGTTCTTTTACCTCCGGTGTTACTGAGCAGCACTGATGCATATATACTTGTTGAGATCGACAGAACGATATATGTAAGTGCCGTTGATTGTTTCTATCATCTGTAATGTTGTTTGTATAAGATAGCTCTGCTGTGGGTGTAGGACTACAAAAGCTTTGAGGACTACAAGCAACTTGGGGACACTATCAAGATTAGTGTTCTTCCTGGAACTAGCTTTGCCAGCTGCGAGGGTTCAAGCTTGGCATGCTGAATTGCTGGTGCTGTGCAGGCGCTTAGGACATGCCTAGTGTCAGTGCCGTGCACTTGAATGGATCTGTTCTTTCCGTTTCTCTGTTTTTGTATGGTCTGAGCCTCCTCCTTTTCCTTCCTGACTGCCATATCTATATCATTTCAGCAGGGACTGAAGCAAAKGCAGATCTAAACCCGACTGCCAGTACCTCATTTTCCTTCTGCTGTGGCTTTTCTTTTTTGTTTCTGGCATGGGCTTCCCTTCCTGTTCCCATCCTACAGTGGGTTCAAACCCAGTGTTCGGGTTGGTGATGTCCAGTGCCAACATCAAGCATCATCACAGGTTCCTTGCACAGGGGACATCCATCTTAATATGATAGGAACATCATTTGCATAAGGAATTTGAGACTCTCAGGCTAAAAKCTAGACATTAGGACAACAGCTTTTTATGTATAAAACCAACATTATATTACAGAGTTAAGAATACATTTACAAAATAGTGCATGAATAACTGCATCATTTCAAAGCAGCACAAAATGTATTTCTTCAAAAGACGTCTTTCTATGTSTTGAAAGACTTGAGAAATACCATATGATTATGGGCATACTTATGTGCATATAAGGACAGACTACATTGTACAATAATACTATGTCAGTCATTGTAATGGATTTTGTTAAAGTAGGTTTACGTTTAAGTGAAGTTCAATTTTAAAATTCCAAGTATAATAAAAATTCGTATTTTTAGGTACATGTCATAAAACTTTCTCTTAGTGTACAAGTGATGTAAGAAATGWTTGTTTTGCAATCTGCAAATTAATAAAAAATGGATCTTTGAAGGTACCAGATAAAGTACCAGTATCAGCACATCACCACAATATTTTAGAATTAAAAGCTAAAAGCAAGATTTCTATTAAAATTCACCCATATGGAATAAATATAGAAAGATTATAATGTGCATCAAAACAAAATAATTGGCTATTTAAGTACTTTCATAAACATCAATAAAGAATAATTGCATAGAAAACACTAATATAAAATTGTTAAATATCCATTTTTATAACTGGACTGTTTCAAAGGTTGAATGCTTAGAAGTTCAGTTGTAAAGCTTTACCTAGTGAAATTGCATACAAATTCTGCAGCATTGTGCAGCTTGTACTGTGTTCTGCTTTGTAGAATTTTGAAACTTATATTAATTATTTTGAAGATGCACATGCAAAACTTAAGAACGAAAAGAATGAAATGTAAAGCAACATCTGGAGAAGGAATGGGATTTTGTACCAGAATCTGTCACATGGAAGACCAGACCTAAGGCCCTCAGGAGTTCTACTTTCCACTCATTCTTCTAATGTGACAGACCATAATAATGTGTGACATTCAGATCCAATTAATGATTTAATAAATCTAATTAATATATAATTAATTAATCAATTAATTAACTGACTATTTAATGTAGATGTTATAACACCTATTGACATGAGTAAATAAATTTTTTTTGATCTCACACATAATTAGAGAGTGGTCAAATTAAGTAATTCCTATACATCAAGTCAGCATCAGAATGTGAGGCAGCATCTTATAAAAGAACATCTATAGTCTCATGAAGTTCCATCTCCATGTGAGGAAGAACTTCTTCGCTATGAGGGTGCCAGAGCCCTGGCACAGGCTGCCCAGGGAGGCTGTGGAGTCTCCTTCTCTGGAGATCTTCCMAACCCGCCTGGATGCCGCCCTGTGCCCYGTGCTCTGGGTGTCCCTGCTGGAGCAGGGGGYTGGACTGGATGATCTCTAGAGGTSCCTTCCAACCTCAACCAGTCTGTGATTCTGTGATTATGTATGGAAGCACCAAAATTGGCAACCACCTGGAAAAGGCTGAATTTTAGATTTCAGTGCTTCTGGGATCTCACTCTAGCAGGCCATTTAACTTAAGTGACTTGTGAAACTACCTGGGGGGAAAAGGCTCTGCTATATTTGCAATCCATGTTTTGCTGTCCTGCAGAATTTTTTTGCATAATCACTGTGAAGTTTATGAAGCACATGCAAAAACATGTACATTTCTTCAATGTCTGCTGGTTCCTTATCTTTGTGTCTTTTACTGTGATGTTGTAGAGCTTGGATCATATGGAAACCTAAAATATTATGACACAATGACTGAAGAAGGTAAGAAATATTTTAGAATTGTTTGTATGAGCTTTCTGTAAAGTCCTTCTTTAAGAGCCTTTTGTGTGTTTCCTTTATTTTACTTTGTACTATTTTCCCTTTTTTCATTTTGAATAATTCTTTTTTGCATGATTTCATTGTCAGTGTAATCAGTTGTCGCTCTCTTTTCAGGTTACTGTCATCAGCTTTTTCAGATAAGGAAATGTGTTTATTAAAGAAGGACATACATGCAAATCTACACTCACAAATTATACTGTGTAATAGAGCTTATAGTGGCTTATTTTATGTCATATTTTACAGTATATTCAAGAAGATGAGATCATTTATGAATGTTCAAATGTCTCAGTTTGAGAACATTTATCAAATTACATTTTTTGTATTATTCAAAAGTAATGAATAAACTTCTTTCAAAAAAAAAAAAAAGTAGGCTTCACTATTTCTAGCATGTTAATTGTATGCTTAACTGCAATACAAAAAATATATAAAATCCTGATTCTACAGTACAAGTGGGAAGTAATTAAGGCCTGAATCAGTGCTCAGTGAAATCTCAGGGAATTTTTCAGCTGAGTCAGAAGTACTGCTGTTTATAATGCTAATTCGGGAAAGCAGTTAAGGATAGGCTTAATTTCCACCATGTGCTTCAATCAGCGTTTCTGCAATTGGGAAGTTTGCCTCAGCTGAGCCCTGGCAGGAGTCAAGGCCTCTCGTGCCTCTCTGGTTGCAGCACCAGGCTGAGGGTTCCACGTGTGTTCAGTTTTGCAGTGAATGGTTTGCTTGAAGATGGAGATAAATGCTAGGCCGGTAGAAAAAGTTAACCATTTATTCCTACTTAAGTTTAATCATGGAAATACGAGATGAATGACTTGAGTCTCCCTATTAAAAAAAAAAAAAAGTAAATATTCGATTCTGACTATATCCCATTTGCTGCATTTGCTGTTGACAGTGACATACACTCATACTATTCTGAGCCCTACTTTGACAGACAGTTTCTGACACCTTTGCACCCAGAATTGCCAGATGCTGATTTCTTCTAGAGAAGGTGCAAGCCCCAGTTTGTATGGATAGTTATCCAGCTGGAAAATTCACTGATTTACAAAGATGGTGTGAAATAATAGACTCTTGCAAGGGGACTTTACTGCACGTATTGAGGTTTAGGATGTTTAAATACCTCTCTCAAGCATTGGAAGTGAGTTTTTAACTAAGGTGACTTAGACAGAGTTACCACAGCTAAAGTTTTTGCAATATATCTTGTCTCACTATTTATCATCATCAAGTTACAGATATCCTTTCTTGTAGCCTCAGAGCTGGTACAGAGAGCTTTTGAGCTTTTTTTTTTTTCCTTTGTTTTCCTGCAGTACTAAATCTACCATCATTACATTAATAGATTTCTAAGTTGTATAATTACTCTAGTGTTAAATATAGTTATTTGTGGGTAAATATCCATGTAAGTATGCTCTGTGCATGCTTACAGTATGTATATGTATATATATATACTGCTATATATAACTGCTGTATATTATTACCAGGCTTATGCTGATTATAATTCTGTAAATATTTAATGTAATCTTAGAGAGCACTCTTCATGAATAAATAATCCAAGACCTACTGCACGTTTTCTTCCAGTAGCAAAAACAAGGAGTGGAGCACTTTTTGTCATTAGGAGTCTTTAACACTGGCAGGAATCTGTGATATGGGTTCTCAAATACAGCTATCGTCTTCATCATTTTTATGTGTCTTCAAAGACCAGATATAGGGTAGTGTATCCCATAAACTTAGATCAAAGCATGCTATATTTTGAATGTTCCGTTTAGATATGCAGAAAGTAATCTCCATCACTCTGCATCATACTTCTTTCCCTTATCCTTTTTTTCCTCTTCATCTTCCTTTTTTTAACCGAGCTTTCTATACATTTAGTATAAAATTATGTAGAAAAAAAYGTAAATCCAATTAAAAATCTGTGGATTTTAGTAGAAAAATGCTTGTGTCAGGGTCCTAAAGCCCTGAGCGAAGAGGGATAATAAATCTTTTAAGTCCTCGGATGAAGACACACAAGGCACATCAATTCGTGATGTAGGATAAGAAGAAGGAGAGGCAGAAAATGACAATACCGATATAGCAAATTATTCAGAAGTCTGTTGTGGCCCTGGGTCTTAGCAGCTCTACTGTTTTGTTACCTCCTGTTTGATCTGAATTACTTTAGATTAATCACTGTTTGAACAGGACCTGTTTGGGGAAAACATGTGATGGGAACCAGGTGGGAATATGAAAATATGCATATATGTGCAGATTCCTGTATTCATGTTACACTTTGGTGACTTTTTAGCATGAAAACTGAAAACTGGGTATAACAAGGATTTCTGAAGTTGATCAGTTGTGATACAATAGTTTTATTCCCTAGCTGGACACCAGCAGGCCAAGTAGGCACAGGTTAGGTTGCCCAGGCAGTCTTAAATTTGACATCTTGTGACTCATGAGTGTTTGGCTGTATTGCTAGTGTGTTTTGCAGATGTAGCAATTTGCATTTAGTTAGAGGCTGAAAATCAGACAAATGATACAGTCTTGATTTTTTAAATCCAGTACATTTCCCCCAAAAAATTTCTCTCAAATCAAAGGCTTCCGATCCAGAGAATCTGAGTCTGTAATCTGGTTTACAGTCAAAAGACTTTTATTATAACCTTGATCAAGAGTCARCTCAGAGACTGGAGATGCCAGCTGGAGTTACTCATGTACATCAAGGCATGTGTATATTTTGCAATGCTGATTTGTTTTCCTGTATTCAAATATAGCCAATATAGCTTTAAACTACCTTAATTTACTTAAGAATTTTCTAAAATAGTTTATCCTATTTGTGGTGTGTAGCATCAAGGATCTTCAGACCTGGACTGTCATGTAAATGAGATTGATGTATGCATAATAATGTAAAATGCATACATCAAAAAATAAAAACTATTTTAGGCAATCAATAGTACATAAGGCTGTGAAAGRCAAAACCTTTGTTAGAAAAAAAATGTAATTTGCAGTGCAAATCTGCTGGAAAGAAGTACAGTTGCATGAAATTCCCATGGTTTATCATAGTAATCCCAACTGAAGATGAGAGAAAGGCATGACAGAAGATCTATGCCTAAAAATAAATCTGTGGGGCTTTCTATTAAATATGAGTGATTTAGAAACATCCCATTATGGTCTTATTCCTTGGAGGGTTGRTGTGTCCCTGAGCTTTTCCTTTGCCAAGCAAGTTTTAATTAGCTTTGTTCTCTCTCTTAAGGAGGAGAAGGGAAGGAGGAGACTCCACCTCTGTTTCTGTGTCAATGCCCTCATGCAGGCTAGCAGCAGTGTTCACCTGCAATTGCCCTTCAGTTTTACACTTTCTTTAGTCAGTTTTGGTCTTTTTTTTTTTTTCTACTKCTTGTTCAGCTGTACTGAGCAAATCAAATGTGAGTGAAAGAAGTAAAAGTATGTGAGATAAACCATGTACTTTCTCAAAGAAAAATGAAAGAAAATAGTCTTTTCATTGKAAATAATCAGTCTAATTTCCATGTCCTTAATTTTTAACTATGGAGCAGTCCCCTGAATGAAGTGGTGGATGTGTATCTTCCATCTTAAGTTTTAAGCTTATATAAAGTAGAATTATTCTCTATAAGGGTATTTCATTTTCAGTTCACTAATAGCTCTAACTTCTCTAAACAGAACTAAACAATTCTAACCAAAACAAGAGTATCCCTATAAAACTCTGCGTTATTCTAATTAAACTCTTCAAAAATATGACTTGTAAATTAAGAACAATCTGGAGAAGGTGAAGATGTAGATGTTTTTACACACAATATTTCAGAAGGATCTCATGTGCTTCATTTGCTTTGCTTCTAAAAATGCAGTTTATGTCTGTGATATCATAAGCCAAATCCTAAAATGTGCAAAGTGAAATTGTACTCTGAAGCTTACTACCAGTAATTTATGATCAAGGGATATGAAAAATTGCAGGCACCTTTGAAAATGTACACGTGCTTCAGGATAAGCTCTTTTGTTTCTCCTAAATTTGCTTAAAATTGAATKAGAAACTGACTTAACTTTTCCAAAGTTTCTGCATAAAATATTTCAAAATATGATTATATTTCTCTGTTTTGTTTTTTTTTCTCTCTTCAGCTCACTTTTTAACCTGAGCACTTCTCTTTCTCTCTCTTCTTTTTTCCTTTTTTTAGCTTTTTTTCTCTTCTTCCTTGTCTAACTAAAATCTCTGGCATTGACTGCCTGCACTGAAATAAGGAGGTGTCTTACTATTTATCATTGTGTTCAACTCTGCAGTGATCTTCTGCAGGCGTTTCCTGTGGCATTATATACCAAATACTTAACAATATGTTCTTAAATGATAACTATTGTTTTTGAGTGTGATTTGTTTATGATAAGATTGAGATTGCTGAAAGGGCAGTGCTTATTTATTGACATTTTGTGTTATTTTCATTTTTATACTTTTGAGGTGAGTTGTTGACAAAGTAAATCCAGTTCCTCACAAATGCTATGTGCTAGTCCCATTACACATCAGAATGTAGCTTCTGTGCTACAGAAGTTAGTGATGAATTTCTTATAATGGTACTGTTTCCTAAAAGCTCCCTCTTGTGAGAGGGGTAAGAGGATTTGTTTTGACCCACGATTCCTTCCACAACACTGTGTTTCAACTTAGAAATATTGACTCTGCATTATCCATCTCACTGAGTTCATTCATGACTTCTGTCTSCTTCCCAGTGTTAATGAATTATTCGGTCCCTATGAGATATTTTTTGGCCATAAGCCTGAACACTTTTTGCAGCAAGGACAAAACCAGTTGGACAGCTTTCAATTATTTTTTTTTTTTTTAACTGGAGATGAAGAATTAAAACAATGAAAAGCCCTGTCTGGTATTTGTATTTTTAATTAGAAGTGTACTGTGCTGCAGTTATCCAATTATATTTGGGAAAGCGGAGGAAGAATAGCAATGAGAACAAAAACAGAAAAGAATGCATACAACATCTTCCTACAAAAAAAAAAAAAAAAAAAAAAACTGTCATAACCTATCCAGAGAGCTGTAATGTAAGAAAACCAACTTAGAGGAAGGACTGGGTTCATTTCATTTAATGTCTGCCATCTTTGACATTGTCTACTTTAAATATACAGTTTGGACTTAACAACCAATAAAGAGTGATGGAATCATAGACTTCGCTTTTAGGAGGAGACAAATTGTCGCAGGGTCAGTCTAGATGATGAGCTGTGAGTAGATCTCTAATTTCTTCAAGGATAACCTGATGGGAGACCTCAGCCATCTGGCAAGTTGAGAAGCTTTTATGAAAATCGTTTGTTATGAAGATTTCTTCCTGTCCTTCTGAAATGTCTGTAGTCACAGGGACACAGCTGATTACAAATGGACAAAATAACCACAATCAGTGTGACAGAATTTATGGATACTCTTAAATTCTGTGTTACTGTGCTCCTAATTTAGACCTGAACCCGTGCTGTTATCTTTGGTTGTCTTCTGTTTAGGCTGAAATTCTACACCAGCACTTTCATAGGTGGAACTTCAGTGACTTCTTCAGAAGAAAAACATTTTTTTTCTGTTGTTTTCAATTACTTTTCAATTATTTGCTGATTTCTCAGAATAAGAAAAAAAAAGTTTATACAATTTCCACTAAAAAGAAAATTGTGAGTATATTTCAGAGTACATAAGTAATAAGTATATATCAGGATATCAGAGGRAAGTGTTTAATAACATATTTGCTGCTTGGGAAGGGATGGAAATGGATTAGTGGCAGGGATTTATGCAGCCTAAGCTCTTGCCAGGATACCTCGCCTCTCAAAATGTCTGCATTTAAATAATGGTAATGCTTTCTTTTAGGAAAGTTCAAAGAGAGGGCCTCAATTCTTCATAAGATTGCCAAAAAGAAGTGCCAGGTGGAAGACGGCGAGAGGCGGAATGGACCTGCTAATCACGGTGAGCATCCCAGTGCAGACTCCCCACTAGCCCCTGAGTTCCCTCTGAGAGCTCACTCTGCTGTTCTGCTTGAAAATCCTTGGAGCCAAATTTCCCCTTCAACATAATTTGAGATAAGCTAGTAATAATTATTCTGATTACCTGTATGAAAAAGCATAAAACACAGGGAGGGGCTGGTCTAATTAAGACACTGTAATGACTCCCTACAGGGAAAATGCAGGAATGCAATGCTGATTTTGACATGAGAGAAAGAGGCAAAATTTGAAAACTCAGTGATTTTACTGAGCTTAGAAAGGTTGGCGCAGGGGCTGACCGTACTGTGTTATTTCCTCATAATTGGTTGTGCTGCACAAAACCTGGTTTGCTTCAGCCGTTCTGCACGTCCATAGCATCCCCAGGGACCAAGTGAATAGCTGTGGCAGCCACACCTGGTTTATAGCACTGCCAGCTTGTTTTCTGATTTGTTTTTGGTTTTTTCCCCCGTCCACATAGGTAATGAAATCTGCCACATATGCAGTTTGCACTGTTTTATAAATTATAAAGCAGGTTTCATCACTTTGTAGTTGATGGAGCCCTGAGAATTTTCCAGTGGTGAAGTCAACCCCCTTAGAAATTTTTGTGCAGGCATTTACTCTAAATTATAGATGAATCTTTCCTGAGGTTGAGAAACACTGCTCTAAGAATATAGAGATTTCAGGTGACAGCATTCTTGCCACAATAATAAAAAGAGCCTTCACATTTAGCATTTGATATGTGCATCTGCGAGTYGCAGAGAATTAGTCAGGCCTGCATATGCTACTCTTGTACAAAATCAGCTTACTATGTTTTCCCATTAAGGGTAGGAATGTATCTTTTAGTTCAGAAGTTCATACATTAAAAAGAAATCCTTACCATGAATCCTCTTTTCTCTCCCACTGCATGTTTTCTGCATTAGAAAACCAGATGCAAATGTGTCTGATAAAAGCTGAATTGTTTTATCAGTTGATACTTTCCCTGACCTTGTACTATATTTGGATACAGTCTGCCTGCAGCRTCAAGCAATTGGATGGGATGCTCCATTAATACACCATAATGCTGTATGTGGGGTTAAGAGACAGCCCAAATGCACTGAAATAATTACAGGCAGTCTGGCACTCCACTCAGATTTTTAATTAAGAGTAGTCTCAGGGTAGCAGTAATGCAACCACATAGCTGTATTTACCTCTGTGTGCAAGGAACATTGAACCCAATATAGACAGAGCTTTATAACCTTATATTATTCAAGGGATTTTTGGCCATTGATATTTTTGTCTAGTACATACCAAAAGAGATAATTATTGTTTAGAGATTTCAGAGACAGTCAAGGCAAGAATAAATTTGAAGAAACCTAGATTTAGAAACCAAAGSCTCTATTTTGTTCCTCTAATCTGTGTAAAGTTTTTGCATGAGGGCTATAAGACTGTTATGAAGGTATTGGATCATCCTTTTATTCTATTCCCATATACTTTTAGAAAAAGAAAAAATACAAATGCTGTTAGGAAGTAACTTTACTAATTGCAAAGGTATAATGCAGAATGCCTCTGCAGAGTTTGCAGAGATAACATATTATAAAAAATAATTATGTGGTTTTTGTTTGTTTGATATGCTGTATRCTGTATGAGTACAATGCTTTATGTCAGTTTTTACGTTAAATATTGACTTACCTTAAATAAAATGGCTTTAGCAAAAGTAAAGCAAAAGTAAATTAGTTAGGAGCACTGAATATTCTCCAAAGTCATTAAATAAATTTTAAATTTCCAGAATGTAAGTGCCAATAGGATAGTCAGYAACGTCACCACTGATCTGAACTGCATTCAAAATGTGCCAGAATTTCTCTCTCCCTTTTTTTGTGTATCATTAATATTTGATGACTTAGATATAACAACAATTTCTTTAAAAGTTTTGTTATGTAATATTTTGTTCTGTCATTTTCTTTCCTGTTTATGGATGATGACACAGAAAAAAGTGCAAAAGTGGAAGTTGCAGTAACACCACCAAGTGATTCAGGACCAGTGCAGAATGGGATCGCCCATAACGTCGAAGAAGAGGTTAATGTCTTTTTTAATTCTTTTCAATTTTAATTTTGGTAGATATATTCTGTGGTTGTTTCTGCTTTTCACTGAAAGTACACATCCTAATAGTAAGGAACTGTTGTTATGAACTGGCTATAATATGTTTAATCTTTTTTCTCAACAAAACCCAGTATATGAGAAAATGTATTGTCATATAAAGAAGTTTTTCTTGTGCCTCTTATGCCTTTCCATGTGAAGTAAGTCTCGTAGTTTGGAATGGATTTTTTTTCAGAAATATATTTCTATTTATCAGACAAGAAGTTATGCCCGTAGCACTTAATACAGCTAATGGCTACTGCTTGTCTGCTTGCTTATCATCACATTGCATAGAATTTGCTCTCTTAACATCTTACAGCATCATGAGGCTTCTCATGCAGTAATTCATGGCATAGCTAAAAGTAGTTACAAAAGAATGGTACAGGAACAACTTGGTTCATACAACTAACAAATGAATCCTAATGAGATATACCTATGCTAGTGTTTCTTGGACTCTCATTCATAAGACTTAAACTCTGCAAAAAAAAAAAAAAAAAAAAAAAGAACACTTAAATTTACTTATTTTAACATACACCTTTTGCAGACAATAGTAACTGACTAACTGTGTTTGTCACACATCTTTAGTAGGCGTGGTGGTGATAGCTTTAAARTTGGACTTGATGATCTTAAAGGTCTTTTCCAGCTATAGTGATGCTATGATTCTATGATCTACTGAAACAGCTGTACAGATGAGCTAACTTCTGTTCAGTGAAAATAAGCTGTCATTCKCAAGTACACTGGAGCACAAAATTGAGTCCTCTCAATGCCTTTCTTATGTATTGAAAAAAATAAGCCTTTTAAATCCCAAATACATCCCAAGTAGACAAATGAGTGGAAAAAATGCCAGTGATTGACTTTGCTAAACTTGGCACTGCCCTTCTAGTTATGAAGAACACAAACCTCACAGTCCCATAGAGGAAAACACTCGTTAAAGATAATATTTGGCACAGAAGCTTGTATAATAGTTATTTAATCTATAATGTTTGTGCAGCTGATTTCTCAGCTTTTTCCAAAAGCTATAGGGACACAAGAGTTACTGAAGAAGCTTGAGCAGTGGCAGGAGCTTCCCTTTGCTAGAAGCGGGGTGAGCTATCATGCTTTGGCATACAACTAAATCATGAAATAGGAAGACATTGGCTGTGTTTGCCTTTCATTAAGTAGGCTTGCTAGTCTAAATAAGAAACTATATTGACGTGCTCACCGTCTCAGCAATGTCACTAGCTGAGTAAAATTCTTTGCTTGAGAGGTACTGCAAGACACAGGAAAAAGGAGAAGYGGTAATGTAGGTAAAATGGTAAAATGCCTTCTTTGCCTCTATCTTTACTGCTAAGGCAACCCCCCATGAACTGCAGGGCTCAGGTGAAAGAGATATAAATGGGCTAGAGGAAGACCTTCTGCTGGTTGAGAAAGATTGGGTTAGGGATCACTTAGGCAAACTGGCCACTCAAAAATCTATGGGCCCAGATGGGATGCACCCAAGAGTGCTGAGGAATTGGCCGAGGTTATTGCTCARCCTCTCTCCATCATCTTTGAGAGGTCCTGGAGAGCAGGGGAGGTGCCCGAGGACTGGAAGAGAGCCAACGTCACTCCAGTCTTCAAAAAGGGCAAGAGGGAGGAGCCGGGCAATTACAGGCCGGTCAGCCTCACCTCCGTCCCTGGAAAGGTGRTGGAGCRGTTCATYCTAGAGAGAATCTCCAGGCATATGAAGGAGAAGAAGGTGTTGAGGAGCAGTCAGCATGGATTCACCAAGGGGAAGTCATGTCTGACGAACCTCATAGCCTTCTATGATGGGATGACAGGCTGGCTGGACGAGGGGAGAGCCATGGATGTTGTCTACCTTGACTTMAGCAAGGCTTTTGACACAGTCTCCCATAATATCCTCATACGGAAGTTCTGGGAGAGTGGACTAGACGAGTGCACAGTGAGGTGGATGGAGGGCTGGCTGGATGGCAGAGCTCAGAGGRTGGTGATAAATAGGGCCGAGTYCAGCTGGAGGCCTGTGGCCAGTGGTGTCCCCCAGGGGTCAGTGCTGGACCTGGTGTTGTTCAACTTGTTCACATGGACGAGGGCACAGAGTGCACCCTGAGCAAGTTTGTGGACGACACCAAGCTGGATGGAGTGGCTGACACTCCAGAGGGCTGCGCTGCCATTCAGAGGGATCTGGACAGGCTGGAGAGTTGGGCAGAGAGGAACCTCGTGAGGTTCAACAAGGACAAGKGCAGGGTCCTGCCCCTGGGCAGGAATAACCCCAGGCATCAGTACAGATTAGGGCTYGACCTGCTGGAGAGCAGCTCCRCRGAGAGGGACCTGGGAGTCCTGGTGGACACCAAGTTAGYCAKGAGGCAGCAGTGCCCTCGTGGCCAAGAAGGCCAATGGGCTCCTGGCTGCGTGAGGAGGATGTTGCCAGCAGGGGCAGGGAGGGGATCCTGCCCCTGTGCTCAGCTCTGGGGAGGCCAAACCTGGAGCAGTGGGGACAGCTCTGGGCTCCCCAGGACAGGAGGGACGTGGAGCTTCTCAGGGGGGTCCAGCGAAGAGCAACTAAGATGATTAAAGGGAATGGAGCATCTCTTGTATGATGAGAGACTGAGTGAGCTGGGCCTGTTTTCTCTGGAAGAGAAGGCTGAGAGGAGATCCAATTTACATGTATAAGTTCAGGAAGGCAGAATGTACGGAAGAAGGGGACAAGCTCTTTTCATTTGTGACCAGCGATAGGACACAGGGAAATGGCCATAAGCTGAAGCACAGGAGGTTCCATCTCCATGTGAGGAGGAACTTCTTTACTGTGAGGGTGACAGAGCCCTGGCACAGGCTGCCCAGGGAGGTTGTGGAGTCTCCTTCTCCGGAGGTCTTCCAAACGCGCCTGGACCCTGTGCCACATGCTGTAGGTGTGCCTTCTTGAGCAGGAAGGTTGGACTAGATGATCTCTAGAGGTCCCTTCCAACCTTGAATATTCTATGATTCTGTGGTATACAACTAACATTGTTTATTTATTTCTGTTGGTCACTTCCTAAACACAATTATCCCTCACAAAGAATATAATTTTTCTTGAAACAACTTATAACAGGAGAAGTTATCCAGTTTGTGCAGCTGTCTTCAAGACAGGGAAAAAATGTGGTAGGATGACTCTGAGAAGAGTACGTGTTTGCTTTACAAAACTAGAAATGGAAAAAATGACAAGATAATTATGGCCATTTGCCAGCTGGTGCACCAAATATGGACAGATATCTTTAGTTCTTCATTGCTTACAGACAGTTTTGAACTCAGAAATAGGAAAAAAACAGTGAATCAAAACCAAAAGTTCTAAAAGAGCAAGATAGTTTTTGACATCCTGAATAATCATATAATTATAATGAATCTCCTGTGGAATGAAGAACAAAGTAGAATGTTTAATTATATTTTCTGCTAGTCATCCAGGCTGACAAGCCACATAAAATATCTTTATCAGACTAACAAAATATTTTGCTTAGGTAAACAAGATGAGTATAAGCTATTTTTTAAAAATTTTCATCACTGTACTTTTGCAGTACTTTAACACTGAGTTTTTTAAAATATGTACAAATCAATTCTCAGATCTATCTGGAGTCACCACTCCTGGTGGTGACTATCAGATCTATCTGGAGTCACCACTGTAGTGAAATACATCCTTTTTTTTTTAATTTAGCAAAAAAAAAGTAAGATAGACAAAGCATAGCAAGTATTTTTCAGACTTCTATTCCTACCACTGATGATATGGTGATATCACGATGGCATAGTTTGGCACAATCTGTTAAGTTGTGCAGAAATTATGTGGGGTATACAAAAATTCAAATAGATATGCAGGAAAGAAATTTAAGAATTTAAGAATAAAACTGATTTTGCCTCATAAGATTTTTGTCTTAGTCTGTTCAGTAGAAACATTGATAGAAAGCAATCATAAGTAATCGTATCTCACAGGCAACAGCGACCATATGCTATCTTTTTGCATCATAACGAAGGATTTTTGAGTTAGTTTAGAAATCTGCAAGGTCAAGCAACTTCATCATCCAAGACAATGGTTTTGATTTCAAACAACTGCAGGATGAGGACATAAATTTTTTTCAGGAATAAATTACTCAGCAATGTCATCCCCCTTTCTCCTACCAATTTCTGCTAGATGTCTCAAATTTTCAGTAAGGCATGCTTGGGGACTCTTATGTTAAATTCAGCAAGCTTTAGGATATTCTGAAAATATACCATGCTGTGTCAGAGGTGGGATGCATTATTTACTCTTATCAGGGTCACAAAACAGACTGAGCAGAGAGGTCTGTGGTTGATGCAGGAGTGATTCTGCGGTTCCAGCTCTGCCAATCCAAAAGAAAGGATTTTAGGTACATCTTGTCACTATAACAGATAGCTATCCCCTAATAGCATTCTGAGACAGGACGTGCTGGCTCCTTCCCTRGTGGCTTTTGTAATTCTGGCTTCTTCCAATGATAACTGGACAGTTGCTGCTATCTCATGCTATTTCAGTTATTGATATGCTGAAATCTGTTTTGCAATTTTTATCTATCTATAATACACATATATATGTATAAAGGATTGTATACATACATATTTTACAAGCTGTAATAATAATTGTGTTCTATGTATTTAGAAATAAAAATAAATACATTTCTTTAGCACTTAGGACCTTACTTTGCTGTGAKATTCTATTCATACTTTCAAATATACAGTGATCCTTCTTCAATATATTGTATATTGCCTTTCTATTTGTACCTAGCCTCTTGGTATGCTTTCCTCAGCTGTGTTGTCACCCTGAAACTAGCTATGGACCTCTTGAAATACATGGTCAAAGTTAATAAAACAGAGCAGATCACACAGAARGGTAGGAGATGACAAACAGATAGGGAGGCAGAGAGATATAGACAGTAAAAAGAGCAAGAATAAAGWTCAGGAGGGACAAAAGCAAGAAAAACAAGATC